AATTACGAGAAGTTATCCAAAGTCCACAATTTGCTCAAGTAGATTATTTTCATAAATTATGGTGGTTGAATCTGAAATTTGGAATTTAAAATTTTTGGGAGGTGCGGTTTTTTGGCATTAGGGGTGGATTTTATATGTTTAAATCGAATTCTAAATTTCAGCTTCAACTCTCACAATAATTATTGTGATATTAAGTTTGATAATGACAAATTTTTATTCTTATTTATAGGCATTACAGTCCTTAAGTGTTGCTTTGCAATCAGGACAGCTAGGTCCTCTCCTTACTCAATTAGGCCTCGATCCATCAGCAGGAAGTGGTATGATTTCTTATCACAATTACTCAATAAATGTATTAACGCATTGATTAATTTATTATGTTACACCTGGTTTCAGGTGTTGAAGCATTTCTTCGTGCAATTCAAGATCAAGTATCTAGGCAACGAAGAAATAACCCTGAAGAGGATAATGCCGATGACCAAAGTGGCGATCGTATGGATGAAGATTAAATTGTTACATAGATGTTCTATTAACTCATATATATATAACTAATTTGCGTTATTCCATTGCTTTTCTTTTTAAATTTATTTAATATGCTTATTAAATTAGATCTTAAATTTACGTATAAATTTGTATAACAATGCAAAGCAATGTTAAATTTGTTGTCTTATCTTAACATTTTGATGTATTATCTATCATGTGATCTACTATTCCAATAAAAATATAGATGTTGTGCTTCAAATTAAATTTAGCTAAACGCCCTGCTAAATTAATTTGTTTAGGCCGATAATTTTGGCCAACTGATATTTGGGACGTATTGACGCAGAGGTACGGGCATGCCTGTAGGGATTCCTTATGTCAAGAAAATCCCGAGCTGCAGAGCATAGCGGGCGTTAAATTTGATTGGATGATCGACCGAAATGTTACACGATATGTCCTACATATGGGGTGAGTCAATAGAAATCAAGTAAATTTTTTATAATAAAATTTTTTTATAACTTTAAATGAGAATAACTTAACAAAGCTTAACCAAATTTAATAAAACTTTTTTTAAATAAATTTTATAAACTTGTAGAATTAATTTAAAAA